TATCCAGCTGAATAACTCCTTGGGAAAAAAACCAACCGTGTCGTAGACTTCCCACCGTGCGCTCATCCAACCCTCTTCGCCGCACCCGTGAATGTCGATGACAGCAATAAGGGCAGTGAACAGGTCAAACATGTAATTCGCGTCCCAGAGCCACATCCTGTCGCCCCCAAAAAACTCGTACAGAACAAGCTCATTGCGCGTCCCGTTCAACCACGATGGCGCGCGGTCAAGCACGTCGCGGAAATCGTTATATGCTGGGGAGTCCGCGGGGCGAGAAGCGGGTCTGCGAGGATACGTCGGCGCGAGGGATACGAGCGCTTTGAGAGCTGTCTCCTTTTCGGATTGGGTGAAATGGGACCAGTCGGCCGCGGAGATGTTGGATGGGAAAGCGAGCACTCGGTTCGCCGCATCCCAAAGCCATGTGCAGTTCAACGCCGCAAACTCCCGCTCCAGGTGTTCCATCTGTGTCGGCACTGGCTGGTATACCTTGACAAACGATGGCAGCGACTGGGAAGTCTCATCGCTCGTCTCGTATCCCGCTGGCTTCGCGCCGAAAAGTGGCTCGCAGGTGAACAATGGCCGCTCGCGCTGTCGAGTCTTGTTGTAGGATCTTTCTGTCATTTTCTCAAGCGGTGCAGGATCGCGGGATTTAGTTAGCGGGTAGTCGGAAACCGATGCCTGGTATGTGTCGTGTTTTTGAAACACCGAGGCTCCAAGCGACGGGGCTTGCAGGTATTGATCCCGCAGAGTAATCAAGCTGGGGGTGAATATCGTACCAAGTTCAACTCGACTGAGGTATGATGCGCTGGACGCACTGGTGGTCAAACTGCTCCGGACCTCCGTACTTCTTCCACGCCACCCGCTCCACCTCACGTTCGTTGTACAGCGAGACAATTAAATTGCGGTGCTCGCCGGCGTTACACGAGCTCACGGAAATCCTGTGGTCAAATTGAGATTAAATTCGCTTCGGGGAAGACGGGGACAGGACCCACGGCGACGCTTTGAACTTCAAGCCGTCGAGGTCGGAAGGCTCCAATTTGTAGCACTTGAGCGCTAGTCGGCGAGAGATCTGCATGTGAAGTCTCGATGAGTGCGATACTGTATACTGAGAGATTCTTGGCTTTCACCTTCCTAGCCCTTGGAACACTAGACTTGCGCCCCAAAGGGTCTTGCCTCGATATCTTCAACCGTGAATTGCGACGGGAGCGACGGGATTCCAGTCCTTTGTCACCACAGGATTCAAAGCCACTGAGACCCTTCCTGCGCAAGGCATCGGAGCCGTCTTGGGAGTCGTTGTTTTCCATGTCACAACAAAGACGGAAGTTCTCACGAGTCGCGGTGAAAATTCATGTTCCAACCGCTTTCCCACCGCTGCCGAAGGTCAAATTTGATGGTATCGAAGGTTGATCAGATGCAACCGTGGGATTACTGAAGTTTGATTCTGTGTTCCAGCACAAAGAGCTCCAGGCGCTAGTATGTATATGTACTACTATGTACGCGGGAGCTTTCGAATATTCGACGATTGTTATTGTTCCTCGATTTCTTGGTGTGTATAACGGAAAGTAAAAAGAATTCTGAAGAGTGTTCCGTGTACTCAAATATCCAAGGGCGAGTCCATGAGTGGAGAGTGTTTTATTAGTCCCTGGACTCATTGGATTCCCCCAAGACCCTGCGCATCACCTCTACCTCCTCTGTATGACACTCAATGAGCCGGCAAATCAGTTTTGACAGAGGGCACTCACCAGGCCCAGTCACACAGGTTTCGACTTCAATCCCTTGCAACGATCTGGACCAGCGATACACAAACTCGGGACCATCGAATGAAAGCGACTTCAGTCCCGGGCATGTCCCCACGAGCGCGTCGCGCAACTCCGAGAAGCCCGACGGCGTGTCGTCATCGTGATCATCGTAGTCGAACTCCAACTCCCAGCCGAGAGTGAAGTGCTGGAGGGGGGGTCTTAGGCAGGGCACGCTGGTCAGCGCATCGAAGAATATCGTTGCCTGGGTGCGTTTTAGACACGATTTATGTAGACACGATTGCAGCGGCGTACCTCAGAGTTAATGCCGCTCTCGAACTCGCCCTCCTCATCATCCAAAATAATGCGGATACGGAGTTCGGTGAGCCGTGGAAGAAGCCCAACTAGAGTACCCAGTGTGGCGTGGTCGAAGGTGCTGAATTTCGCGTCCAATGAAGTAATGTTCAAAGGTGCCGAGTGACTCTGCAGCTGCCTTATGACGTGCTGCGAACTGCACAGGAAGAGGGTAACGCGGGTGAGAGTGTCTCGAGGGAGGAATATAGGTAAGGCCTCAAGGTGGCCAGTATATTCTTTGAGCGCAGGAAAAGGCTCGCGGTGATGCGTGCGGGGCTCTGAGTCTGACCCCGCCGCCAGCACGCCCCAGCCCACATCACAAAGATTTCGACGCTGGGAAATCTGGACATGATTGCGAGGTTGCGAGACATCGTCGAGAGGTTCATGTTCATCGACAGCTTGTGGAGGTGCGGAAATAGGGAATGTCCTCCACGTTCTCGCTGAAGAGGCCAAGATTGCATGTGATGGACAGTTCGCGGAGGTGCTCTGGGCTGAGAAGAGGGATCCAGTGATCAAGTCCATCCTCACGCGTAATCATCTGACGGATTGAAAAGCTGGACAGGGCCAACGCATGTGAAGGGGTTCTATGGGTTCTACAGCAGCGACTTCGAAGTGGTCGACGTGTAGGATAGCCAGAGAGGACATAAGGCACAGGTTGGCCACCGCTGTAGAAGTGAAGTGGATGTTCCGAGATCTGAGGCGCCGGAGACCGGTGAAGCGCGTAATGCGCTCGAAAAATGTGTTGAATAAGACGTATGGCGTCGCTGCGTCGAATAGCGGTATTTGGTGGCATGGTGTAAGGTCGCATGAGCGAACCAGAGGAGCTATTTCATCCGAGGACCAGAATTCTAATCGCTCCAAAGAGATAGCAACTTCCGCAGCAGACGGAAGGAAAAGAGTGCCATTGGGGCCAAGAGCAAATGGATGAAAATCGAAGTGGGCGAACAGCAGTGGGCGCGTTATACGGCAGAAGTTGTGGTGGGCCAAGGAGATATCTTTAAGCGTATCCCGGGGAAGATAATTGAAGATCTCGAGCCATAGCTCGTTTGCGACTTCTGAAATCATGAAGGGTGGGAGCAAAGGGTGATGTGGCGGTACACCATTACGGCAGCCGGTACAGTATTGATAGCTGTTGAACTTCAGGGGGTATTGATTATCGAGGACTCTGGACTCGAGAATATTTCCATAAAATAGGTCAGGATGTAGCAAGATATACTGACATCCTCGGAGATTCCACAGGTTTCTTCAGAGTGCGGAATTCGCGTGCGGCGTGATGTAATAATACAGAATAAAACATGATGTACTCAGAATGGCAGAGCCTCGAACGGGGACGTTCAGGGTTGCAGAACGCCTTATTGCATCCCGACGCGCACCGTGCGCCTCTCTCGCTCTCTTGCTGTGAATTAAACGCAAGGGGGAATCGGGTTTCGAAACCAGCACTGCATAGGGTTCATAAAACCTTTTCGACCCTCCCAGGACCCACCTTCCCCCCTCCTCCTTCAGGCTTCCATAAAGAAAAGGAGTTTCCCACCCACAAGCGGTCCGTTCTTTCCGCATGTGCGTCCTCACCGCCATCATCCCAATTCAACAACACAATTCACGAGGTGGTTGCACATCATCGAGGGCATCGTTCCAGCACTGTTCAACTATCCTGTGGGTGCTACCCTCTCTTTCGTTTGACTTATGTTCAATCTCGCATGGCCCATTTTCACTAGAAAACTCTCCTCAGCTCAGCAAAAGCCTCTGTTTGAGCTCCTGACGGTGAACTTACGCCCTTGGAGCCTTCTGGAGGCCCAGATAGGTGGTCTAGAGCCTCTTTTTCTTCCCTACTAACATACAGGTAGAAATCCTTTCAGCCCTGCGGGGGACCCCCCTCCCCCCTACCTCCTGTCGGATTTTCAAATCCTGAATCACCCGTGATTACTGCTACTTAAAGGGCTATAAATTTTGTGACTTGAGATGGGTAGACTTCGCCAAGAAGTGAAGCCCCAAGACGTCATTTTCTCGTCGAATTCGAGATTCAAGTTGTGTGAGAATCGAAAAATCAGATTAAAAAGAATTTGCAGACGTATGGCAGAGCCTCGAGTCGAACGAGGACTTTCGGTGTATAATATATCAGAGAACACCGTATTTCAACCCGACACACCGTGTGCCTCCCTGCCTTTTCCCACTACTCTTCCCCTGAATCAAGGCATAAAAATTGTGGGATTTAAATTTGAAGGAATTTAAGCTTCAAACTCCCCAAAAAAACTCAGACTGCCGGGGAAAAAAGTAATATAAAGGAACAAAACCCAGCATGGCAGAGCCTCGAGTCGAACGAGGGCCATTGGGGTGATTTCAAGAACACCAATGCGCACCGTGCGCCTCCCTGCCTTTTTTTATCCTTATGGTCCTTCCATTTGTACCTGTAACTGTAACTCGCAAAAGCAGGGGGATGTTCATGATTGAGTTGAGACTGTAGTTGAAAGACATCCTGAATTCACACACAAAAGCCGTCTCATAACGACAGATGGGATTTGAATGAGTCTTAAGTTGAGTTCTCGAATCAAGACTAAAAATATGTGTTTTCCCTGGAGTCCGAGCATGGCAGAGCTTCAAGTCGAACGAGGTCGTCCGGGGTGTAATCATGGTGCCGACACTTATTGAAACCCGACGCGCACCGTGCGCCTCCCTGCCTTTCTTGCCTACTCCTTTTCTGAATTAGGGTGCATGGATTATAGGATGTTTGCGAGTTGACTTGTTGTGGTTGTTATTTGGTGGTGGTTTAAAAGAATTCGAACTTCAAAATCCAATAAGATTCAACCACGTCGATCGCAGGTGGTTCAAGGAGAGAGAGAGAGAGAGAGAGTTGAATGCGAAGGAGTGTAATAGAATAGCCCAGAATAAAAAGAGATGATTGTACACGACGAATGGCAGAGCCTCGAGTCGAACGAGGTCATTCGGGGTGTAATGCCGTCTGGCGAAATTCACATTAAAACCCAACGCGCGCCGTGCGCCTCCCTGCCTTTTTTTTATCCTTATTGGTCTTCCATATGTACCTGTAACTTGGTGGATGTTTCCAGAAGTGAGTTGAAGTGGGTTGGTTGAGACTGTGATTAAAAGTTCGCCAAGAAGCGCTGTCTGATAACGGCGGATGGGATTTGAATTCTCAAATCAAGACTAAAAAAGATGTGTTTTCTCTGGAGTCCAAGCATGGCAGAGCCTCGAGTCGAACGAGGACCTTGGGTGTATGCTAGAGGTTACTCATATGTATCATATGCAACCCAATACGCACCCTGCGCCTCCCTGCCTTTTTTGTTCACCCATTGTCTGAATGAGGATCACTGATAAATTTGAGGGGACGTTGTGTGATTTGCGGTCGAACTTCAGAATCCAATAAAGCTCAACCCCAGGCTGGTTCAAGGAGGAAGAGAGTTGAATGCACGACTAGACTTGAAAGTGATAAAATCATTCCGAAAAAAAAAAAAAAAAACTGTAGATCACAATGGCAGAGCCTCGAGTCGAACGGGGACCTTCGGAGTATATTCTCACTTGCACATATGTTATATGCAACCCAACGCGCACCGTGCGCCTCCCTGCCGTTTTGTGCCTCTTGGGTTTTCCCTTTGTACCTGTAACCCACAGAAGCTGGCGGATGTTTCAGAATTGGGTTGAGGTGGGTTGTTGAAAGACGGTCAGAATTCACCAAGAAGTGCTGCCTGATAAGGCGGATGGGAGTCTTGAGTTGAATTCACGAATCGAGGAAAAATAGACTGACGGGACCCAATATGGCAGAGCCTCGAGTCGAACGAGGACGTCCGGGGATTAATCTCATTGCACAACGGGTTACTGAAACCCGACGCGCACCCTGCGCCTCCCTGCCTTTTCTGCCTCCATTTGTACCTGTAACTTACATGAAGTTGGTCGATGTTTTGACATTTGAATTGTTGGAACTGTAGACGTTCAGAATGCGCCAAGAAACACTGCCTCATAAGGGCTCATGGGATTCCAATGAGTCTCGAGTTGAATTTGCGAGTCAAGACTAAAAAAATTACCGAGTTCCGCAGCTTAATGGCAGAGCCTCGAGTCGAACGAGGTCATTCGGGGTGTAATACCGGTGCCGAGCGCTTACTGAAACCCGACGCGCACCGTGCGCCTCCCTGCCTTTTTTGCTGGTCCATTGTCTAAATTATGCCCTCAGAATTATCGGATGTTCTACGATTTGACTTGTTGTGGTTGTGATTTGGTTGTGGTTGAAAAGAATCGGAATTTAATAAAACTGAACCACAGGCTACCGTATGTGGTTCAAGGAGAGACAGAGTTGAATGTAATAGAATAGTCCAGAATAAAAAAAGAGATGTGTTTCCACATATGGCAGAGCCTCGAGTCGAACGAGGACCTTGGGTGTATGCTAGAGGTCGCCCATATGTATCATATGCAACCCAATGCGCACCCTGCGCCTCCCTGCCTTTTTTTTGCTGGTCCATTGTCTGCACTATGGCGCATGGATTATGAGATGTTCTGCTATTTGACTTGTTGTGGTTGTGATTTGTTTGTGGTTGAAAAGAGTCCGAATTTCAAAATCCAATAAAACTCGACCACAGGCTACCGTAGGTGCTTCCAGGAAAGATAGAGTTGAATGGGAAGAGTTGTAATAGAATAGCCCAGAATAATAAAAAAGATGTGTTTCCACAGAATATCCAACATGGCAGAGCCTCGAGTCGAACGGGGACCTTCGGAGTATATTCTCACTTATACATATGATATATGCAACCCAACGCGCACCGTGCGCCTCCCTGCCGTTTTGTGCCTCTTGGGTTTTCCCTTTGTACCTGTAACCCACAGAAGCTGGTGGGATGTTTCGGAATTGAGTTGAAGTGAGTTGTTAAGACAGCAGTTGAAAGACGGTCAGAGTTCGCCAAGAAGCGCTGTCTGATAAAGGCGGATGGGATTTGAATGAGTCTTGAGTTGAATTCTCGAATCAAGACTAAAAAGATGTGTTTCCTGTGGAGTCCAAGCATGGCAGAGCCTCGAGTCGAACGAGGTTGTTTGGGGTGTAGCAGTTCCAAGATTTCCCATTGAAACCCAACGCGCACCGTGCGCCTCCCTGCCTTTTTATACCTCCTCGGTCTTTCATATGTACCCGTAACTTACATGAAGTTGGTTGGTGGGATGTTTCGGAATTGAGTTGGAGTGGGTTGTTGAAACTAGGGTTGAAAGTTACGCCAAGAAGCGCAGTCTGATAAAGGCGGATGGGATTCGAATGAGTATTGGGTTGAATTCGCGAATCAAGAATAAAAATAAAAAAAACCCCGATGTGCCTAAAATATGACAGAGCCTCGAGTCGAACGGGGACCTTCGGAGTATATTCTCACTTGCACATATGTTATATGCAACCCAACGCGCACCGTGCGCCTCCCTGCCTTTTTATACCTCCTCGGTTTTCCATTTGTCCTTGTGACTTACATGAAGTTGGCGGGACGTTTGAATTCAGAAGTGAATTGAAGCGGGTAGTTGAAAGCTTCCCAAGAAGCGCTGTCTCATAAAGGCGGATGACATTCGAATGATTCTCGAGTTGAATTCTCGAGTTGAATTCGCCAATCGAGGATAAAAAAGATGTGTTTCCACGCTATCCAACATCATGGCAGAGCCTCGAGTCGAACGAGGTCGTTCGGGGTGTAATCACGGAGCCAAACGCTTACTGAAACCCGACGCGCACCGTGCGCTTCCCTGCCTTTTCTAACTCCCCGGTCTTTCATATGTATCTGTGACCTACATTAAGTTGGTGGGACGTTTAAATTCAGAAGTGAGTTGAAGCGGGTAGTTAAAAGACTGTCACAATTTACCAAGAAGTGTTGTCTGATAAGGGCAGGATGAATTCGAATGATTCTCGGTTTGAATTCGCGAATCAAGAATAAAAAGATTATTCAGTTCCGAACCATGGCAGAGCCTCGAATCGAACGAGGTCGTTCGGGGTGTAAAAACCGCTACATCCTTATTGAAACCCGACGCGCACCGTACGCCTCCCTGCCTTTCCTGCCTACTCCTTTTCTGAATTAGAGTGCATGGATTATGGGATGTTCTGCGATTTGACTCAGACTCGCTGTGGTTGTTATTTGGTGGTGGTTTACAGCTGTTTGCAAAACTAATGACACTCGCTAAAAATAGTTAAAAGAAAGCATTTTTGATGCGTCGGATTGCCGAGCTCGTTTCTCATCCAATTCTGAGCAGATTTTCTCGAGAGTAGGCGCGTTCGAAAGCGGGTAAGCGGGGCTTTCATACGGTACCCTACTCACGAGGTAAATTATGTAATTCAGATGTTCCAAAATTCCGACTGGCTGGTTTGAACCAGACGCGGCAAAGGCCCTTCCTCCATCACCCCTGAGTTGAATTTGATGAATCTGGGTGATTCTGAAAGCTTACATTAAGGCAAACGATATTCCACCGCTCTAGAATGAAACACACATGATGCACACCTCCAAGAATGGATTTACTGAGTGACACTGAATATTCATTCCTAGCAGGTTGCCTTGAGAATAAACCAAAATATAATATATCATAGAGCTTTGCATTGATCACAGCCTTCAGAATCATTTGGATTCATGCGAATCGGGTGTCTGGCAATGGAGAAAGGGCCGTTGTCGCGTCTGGTTCAAACCAGCCAGCCGGAATTTTGGAACATCTGAATTACATAATTTACCTCGTGAGTAGGGTACCGTATGAAAGTCCTGCTTACCCGCTTTCGAACGCGCCTACTCTCGAGAAAATCTGCTCAGAATTGGATGAGAAACGAGCTCGGCTATCCGTCGCATCAAAAATGCTTTCTTTTAACTATTTTTAGCGAGTGTCATTAGTTTTGCAAACAGCTGTAAAAGAATTCGAACTTCAAAATCCAATAAGAGTCAACCACGTCGATCGTAGGTGGTTCAAGGAGAGAGAGAGAGAGTTGAATGCGAAGGAGTGTAATAGAATAACCCAGAATAAAAAGAACGATTTGCGATAACAGATGGCAGAGCCTCGAGTCGAACGAGGTCATTCGGGTTGTAATGCCGTCTGGCGAAAGTTGCATTGAAACCCAACGCGCACCGTGCGCCTCCCTGCCTTTTTGTTCCTCCTGGGTCCCCCATTTTACCCCCACATTTGGAGCGCGAGCTGAGGTGGGTGGTTGAGGTGTTTCCTTCCTCGAATTGCACTTATGCTTTTCCTTACCTTCCCCGGGGATCGGCGGGTAAAATATATTTTAATCACGGTCTGATGAAAGGAGCTGGTTTCGTATACGCGGAGCCCGACTCAGCCCGTTACACCGTTTACGGAGATCAACTTGAAGGAGGAACTTGCCAGTGCATCCAAAAATTGCAAAAAAAAAAGAATCATCACCGAACATCCCTCTGACGCAAACTGTCAATTTTCTTGATATCCACGCAGCCAAGTCCAAGCCAAGTTGAGCCTAGTTGAACTTGGTTACAAGCCAGCCCGGATCAGACAGTGGCAGTGCCGATCACGGGCTTACCCATCACCGCCACCACCGCCTCTTCGCCATCACCTCCACGTCGATTGCTTGACCGTTTCGCCCTTTGTCTTATTCAATGGCGGGCCAAGTCTCCAAGCAAGAGAGCGACCGCATATTTGCGGTCCTGCGCGCGCAGAAGGCCAACAAGGTTCGTCGTGTCTGGCTCGCTTTCGACACGAAAAGTGGCTGATTGAGTATCTCAATTTTTTTTCAATTTTTTGTGTGCTGTTTCGATCGACTTTAATCGCTATTCTTGCTATACTCTGGACTTTTGCTTGTTCGTCGTTGTGTTCTCTATTGCTCTGGGGCGAAATTGGACTGGTACTTGCTTGGGCTTGGACGATTACTCTGGCTGGATTTCATTTACCCTTACCCGGATGCTCGCTGCCTCGCTATTACCGATATTTCGCGGCTGGGTGATACTTCGGACGGTTTACCTCTTCTTCTATGGTGCAATTGGATCCCTATTCCTCGCTTGGATTCTCTGGCTGCATTTTACCGTGCATTACACTCGCC